GCTGGAGGAAAAAGGGAACCGGAGTCATCTCTTTTTCAGGAGAAGTGTGCCTCTTCCCTTATTTCGTCCAGCAAAGTGTTGCATGTAAGCAGTTTTCGGTCCCATTTCCAGAAAGGCAGAAACCGAGCTTGGTGATTTTCACTTCTAAATCTGCAGCTCACACTAGTAATTTAGGAGCACAGGATGTGGGCAAGCCCTGGGCCTGCCTGTCTTGAGCTGCTCAACCTCCTCCCCCTCTCTGCTTCAGAACTAGGTGAGCTACAAACAATGCAGTAGCTGTTTTTTTTTTCAGAAAAGTACATCTGTGTAATCATGTAAGTGGAGTACACCTAAAAAATCCTAAGATCTTAGGGATCACAGATGACTGGACAGCTATGAGTCAAATTCTGCTATAAAAAGCAGCAAACAAATAGGAATGTAAAACATTCCTGAAATGTACTTAGTCTCCAATAAGCCAAGAGGCAATGAGAGAGAGCACAGCAGTTAGAAAGTTACCATTCTATGCAGCAAGCAGAATCTTAATAATAACTCATGTGAAAATTAAACCATTCAAAATTGCATCAGCGCAACACTAGTACAAGGAGTTGAGCTTTCAGTAGAAATCCAGATTGTTTTATTAAAACCTAAAAGATGAATAAACACCCACATCCTCTTCTGTAATTCCTAAAGCAGAACTGCCTGCTGATTTGATTTTTGAAACAGCGTTTTGAAACCAAGGACTTGGAGAAGTCCACTACATTTTTTCCCCATGACTAGGATTAAAAACGAAGGAAAATCACTACACTCTACGGCAAAGATCTCTGAAGCATGCTGCGACCTTCATGTGCCTACCAAAGTATACAATGCAAAAGCTAAAACGTGTAGTGTAACTACAGGCTTGGTTTTAGGGGGTTTGAATCACTCGCAAAGTCTTCCTTACTGGCCATAAGCTATCACCTTCTGTGGAGAGTGGACATACACCCCACAAAACCCCAATAAAATAAGAGAGATAAGATCACTTTATTAGCCATATACAATTTCTTGTATTAGGAATTTGTCTTTTCGCATACCCCAGCTTGCTCTCCATGAGACACACAGGCACACAGACAAGGAGAGAGAAGCTTGGGGTAAAAGCGCAGGGTCAGCCATTTATACAGCGCCCCTGGAGCAGTTGGGGTTAAGGGCCTTGCTC